ATCATACACACATTGGAATTTTCTCATTATTTCAACCATTTTCAACCAAAAGATCCGTTACAAACCTTCTAAAACGGCTCCATTTTCGTGAGAAACTTCGTCACAATTTTCCACTATGTTCCTCCATCTTGAAATGAGCATTTGACCAATCGGCGTGCGCGAATTACGTCACGTGACCCGAAGTTTCCTATCCAGTGCTTTTATTATCCATGAGGTTCCTATACAACACTCCCCAGAATTTTATCATGCAAAGCCGGTGATGACGGTATAATACTCCAAATGCTCTATAGTCTATTTCAATATTTGTAACAATCGGTGACCGTCGCTCAGTTCCGCAGGGTCCGCAGGTGTTTGTGTCGAAAAACAAGCGAGTAGAGAAGGCCTGGGAACGAGAGTTTGTCTCTGCAGACATATGCAAACATTGAGAATGGTTGAGTGGTGAACGATGAATGTGTATTTCATCTTTATAGTATTTAGTTGCGGTAAGTTTTTACAGTGATAAGTAGAATTTAATCTGTCTTGTCCTAGATACGTTTGAGAAGTTGTGAATCTAGAAGTACATATGTTCTTTAAAGCGGCGAAGACTGAACCCRARCTAAATGCACAACGACATCGCCGCCTTCATGCGCAATGACTTCAGTTATAGTAAGCTTTAGTCTTATATTTTCATTTGAAAATTGTGAAAAATGCTATACTTTGGCATTGAAAAAAGATTACTGTTTTCTTATTTGCTAGTTGGTTATTTAGTTCATCTATTAAAAATGTCGAATGTTGCATGAATAAAACAGGAATTTGTTCCGCCTTACAGAAACTTCAAGGTCACTGTCTTGAAACTTGTAAGGACTTAAGTTATGTTCTTCAGATGTCTTACAATATTATCTTGGAATTGTAATTATACGTTTTASAAGATTAAAACAATGCTCATAAAAGTTTGTAGGGTGATACAATCACCAGGAAATATCAAATGTTTTGCAAATTATTTACAAAATTTCGACGTTGTCAGTTTCGACATGGCCGACACAAAATTATGACGTCATACAGATTTAAACAAAATGTTCAATCAGCTCCCATTCTATATAATTCCTGTATGTATTTACCAGTTTTTTYTTCAAATAATAATCTCCACATCGGTCTCTGAGAACATATCTGACGGTGCAGTGCATTCGGCTTGTTGACTTCGTTGCGCATGACTTAATCCCAAAGGAATGTCGTAGGATTTTTAGCCAAGGTTCCAAAGCTTGAAGCTGCAGGTGTTGTCTGTCTAGATTCACAATGTATAAGGTCTGAGAGAGAAGTATATTAAAAACAAAACAAAAACAACATAACAGATACTAACTGAATGTTGGATGTTTCTTTTTGTTTTGCAGTATTTTTCAGCTGCTTGAGTATTTCATCAGCTTTTATCAGTAAGTGCAAAACACAAGTCTTAAGGCTGATTTACACGGTACGATTTGTCGCGCGCGACTCGTAGTATACGATTTTCCTACTACAAGTCGTAGGGTTTTAAGCCGTGGTTCAAAATCCTACTACAAGCCGTTGTAGACAAGTTGTAGGGGCATTTACACTGTGTGATTCAAGT